CCCCAAAACCCCAAAACCCCAAAACCCCAAAACCCCGAGCATTATATATTAAATTCAAATTAGCATAATAAAATAAATTCAAAATCGATTTATATTTCATGGAAAACAACTCTAGAATCTCAATAGATTAGAGACAAATACTAATAAACTATCTTTCTGAACAACTTCCAGAGAGCATAATAGAAACTCTGTTTGAAAACGGGTTCGATGATGTCTAAGCACTCAATATGATGGATGTGGAGACACTTAACGAACTGCAAATAGGTAATCCTGAGATAACTCTCTAAGTGATTAAGAATTGTGCTGAAGGCGCCTATGAATGCATTCAAGCTCAGCAATATGAAGTAAAGTAACAAGATAGGTTATTCTAGGATGAGGAATAGAAGGATTATAGTATCAATTTAGAGATCTAGCCCAAATAAAAGAATCTAACCAAGGCAATAATACTATTAACACTGTAGTCATAAAATAAAACTGGCAGACCATTAAACCCTTCTTAGCAAGAAAGTTTGATGACAAAATAAACTCATCTGCACCTGAATGGGAGGAAAATCTAGCTCATTGAAAAAGATTCCTTAGCATCTACTCCAAATATAAAAGTTCTTTATCTATTCGATAATTTGATCAACTTAATTGAGCCATTAAGCTTTTCAAAGTTGTCTCATCTCATACAACTATCCTTATACAATAATCAGTTAAAGAAAATTCAAGGATTAGAAAAACTTACCTCTCTCAGAAGATTATATTTAGAAAGGAATTAGATCTCTAGATTAGAGGGTCTTACTGACTGTCAATAACTGGAAGAGTTATATCTTAGTGGCTAGAACTTAACAAACGACTAGGAATTTACCTTTGATGATTACAGTCTTGCTGCCATATCTAGATCTATTAAAATTCTTGACCTTTCCAATTCTAGAGTCAGGTTCCCATAGCAATTGTATTACTTGGAGTACCTAGATTCGTTGAATCTGAGTAGAAATATGATAGATGATTTTGATGAATAAATTAATCCCCTTCTTTCGACGATGAATAGACTCAGAAATCTGAATTTGAATGAAAATCCAGTCCAGGCAGTTACCTAAAAGTATAGAGATTAGGTCGTTTTGCTTAGTAGATCAATTGAAGAGTTAGATGGTAAGAAGATCACTTAATAAGAAAGGTAATATCTGATTTAGCTAGTCCAAAGAAAATAGATTAAGAGTTAACAGCATCCATAGTCTAAGGAAGGCAAAAAAAGTGAGAAATTTGAAGTCAATGGTTAGAATAAAGTTATTCATGAGCATATTGAACTTACTAAAAATCAAGGAAATGGCTCTGAGGATTAAGAAAATGAAATTCATAATTAACAGTTTGAAGCAGCTGGTACATTAGATTATTACCAGCATAAAGCTCTGAAAGGAGGGAAAGTACTTTAAAATCCATAAATTAAAAAGAAATCAGCTAATCTTAATAATAATGCAGATTTTACCAATGTTGGGTAAAGTCATATGATGACAAAACATGTGCCTAGATTAGGTAAAAGATGAATATAATCTAGAAGAAATATTTCTCATAAGAATAATATTAATTTCCTAATTTTGAATTTATTTATTTAAAGGGAAATAATTTTCCTTATATTAGAGTTACTTCAGTTTTATGGGGTTTTGGGGTTTTGGGGTTTTGGGG